TATATGATCCATGGGCACAGGCCACTGGCTAACAGTCTTTTGAAATAGGAGTTATTGGACTAAAACTCTGAGCAATTTCCTGAAATTACATGTCATTTTAAAATGGTGGAGAAAAAATAAGATGCCTCATAACAGCAAAAGGTGCCAGTATTCAGCCTGGAACCAAAAGGCAGCTGAAAATGATTTCCATCTGCTGAGAATGGGACAAACTGTTCTTGTTTTGATAATGACAGAGTGATTCTGGGAAACCAGTTGCCTGTTGCAATAAGAAAGTTCATTCAATTTATCCAGAAATTAGGAGCCCAGGGAAGCTTGGCATAAAGTAGCTTCATTAGGCAGTAAATTATTTACACTGTGAAGGAGTCATCCCAAACTATGGCAAGAAATGAAAACCTAGTGGTGCCTGTGACAAGCATTTAATGCTTCTCTAAATGACGAGAGCTTGAATAAACTGATATTTAAATCTCAACCCACTCCTATGCAGCCCAAGCAATATGCAGTGTCCAGGAAATTGGTTGCATTATCCATTCCAAATTGGCCAAGGCCCATGAAATAACAGCTACTGAGAGGAACTTTAGAATATTCCATTTCTTCTGAGTAAATAGCTCACAATTATACTGTGCTGACTTACCAAATTCACAATGTAATACAGGTTGAACCTCTCTAGTCCAGAACTCTCTGATCTGCAAACATCCATTGTCTGGAGTGTTTTTAGTTAGCTGGATGTCTACTTTTCATGGGTGTGGCCAAATTTCCCGTGGTCTCATCAAGTTTGTTTATAGCCACCAGTCCTAGCTCTCAGTGTTCTGTGCTGTTATTTAGCTCCAATTTACCCCTAAATGTCCTCTAACAACCCAGTAAGCAGTGGAAGTGTTGGTAATGCTGCTAGACAATATTGACCTCCCATGGTCTGGAAAATTATCTGTTTCAGAACTGGTCAGATCTCAAGGGTGCTCTCTAGAAAGGTTCAATCTCTAACATACATATCTGCTTAGAACTCAGTACTCCTACTTTGTTTTATCTCTAAACTTTTTTTTTCAGCAGTATCTCATTTGTGACAGGCCAAAGAAATTGAGCATAAGCAAGAAGGAAATCTCAGTTAAAATCATTCTTATCTCACTTCATGTCCATATTGCCCTTTCAACAATAAATTCCACAAGTGTGCTATTTTTTCATAAGAACAAGTAAACTAATGGACCATTCCACTATAGGATGTACAGAAGTGTCTTTCTGGAAGCACAAAGACAATACAAAGCTGGCTATATTATGAAGTTTCTGGCTTGAAGCTTCTACTCAGCTTATGCAAATTTTACTTTCATGCAATGCATGAACATTTGAAACACACACAACTGTCTTCCTGAACCTACAAAACTTCCTCCTCTCCATCTTTGATGCTGATCAATCTGCTAACTATACAACATTTTTATGCGATGACAAAATCAAGATGAAGCATGTTGCATTTTCAGGACAAATCTAATCATCTTTTTTGCAGTTGTACAAGACCTTTGGCAGCAGCCGAATTATGTAAAGAAGTGAAATACATGGAGAGGCCATCACTGAACAGTGTTCAGTGCTTAGTTCTGTTTGAGCTCCTTGTACAACAGTGTGTGCACTGAGAAGAGACCATCTTGAATCACATATGAAGTTAGGTAACCATTGTGATTTTATTTTCTGTGTTTTGCACGTCTAACTTCATAGGAGACTACTGTCTGATTGAGCTGCTGCTATTTTTGTGTAGCAGAACTAATGCAGCATCTCTCATGTAAAGCTTATATGATGTTCTATCTTGTCATGGAGACTTTGCTATTGTTCTTTCTTGCTTTGTCACTTCTGCTAAAGTAAAAGTCATCGAGACTGAGTATGTATGGGTTGTTCTTTGGACCAAGAAAAACATATTCTGTACTTTGAAAAGGTTATTTATATCAAGTCCTACAAAGTAATTTATTTTGTGTACATTTTTATGCTTCATTTGGTTTTTGCTATATAAGTCATTCACATTCTAGAGCCTGGTAAAAGGTCAGTCAAAACATCTTGAAAATCAAATATTCAAAATGATTTTCCATGAGTGATTTACCAAACAGCAACTGTCAAATAATTTTTGATCAAACACACTTGGGAATGGGGAATAATCTGCAGAACAGGAAAATGATGCAAAATTTGTTGAATAAATTATACACAGTGCTAATTGTGAATAAAAAAAAAATGGGGAATAATCTGCAGAACAGGAAAATGATGTAAAATTTGTTGAATAAATTATACACAATGCTAATTGTGAATAAAAAAACCAAGTTAAAACTCATGAGATTCTGCAACTTAACTCACTGCAGTTAAGACAAAAAAAGTTCAGACAAAGCTACAGTATCCTGTTTGAATATTTTAGGGAAAAGGGGGGTTGATTTTTCATATCAAAATGACTTTTCATTTACACTTTTCAGTAGAATATATAATATAGAATTTAAGTCCAAATAGCCCTAAACAACCACAAACAAAAAGTGTTGGGGACTTTACTTATCCAGAGAATTTTGAAATGTTCCGGTATTCTTCCAAATTGTAATGAAAACAATTTTCAAAATCTCAACCTTCCACAAATCTTCATTCTTTGCACAGTGCTACTAAATATGTTCTTATGCTCCATATAAGCATTTCATTTTTTGGATGAAACTTCATAGTTGGGTTTTGCTTGCTATTAGTATTAATACAATTAATTTTTCAATTCTCCCTTTCCATTTTAGGGAGACAACAAAAAATTGAGATAATAACAACAGGGTAATAAATGGGAGACTATAAATAAAATATTTTTTTTGGTTTTCTTATCTTCTGCAATGAAGATAAAATAAAGCTGTCCTACCTATCTACTTTAGCTTACACACAATGTCATTTAGGACTCAAGCAGAATTATCTGAGCCAATTCCACAACAGATATAAATCAGTAAAGTGGTCCTGGTTGATTTGACCTGGCTGATTTGAATCAGATGAAGTTCTTATTGGGAGGCAGTGGTAGGTAGGTGGATGATGGCAAACCTAACATTTAGGTGTAATAGCACAATTGCCCATAACAATTATTTTAAATATTGCTAGAAGGTATTCTTTTACGCCTTTCCTTCTCATTGGTAGTTTGCAAAACTCCATTGAACACATATGCAGTTACAACAACATTGAGAATGAGAAGGGAGAAGGCTCCATATCCTAGCTGGAAATCCAGTAGCTGAAGTGTGCAGTTAGTATTTTGTCAAAACACAAGAACTGTTAAAGCATGCTTAAGCAGACCAGGTTAAAGGCATGCATTTAATTAGGTAATGTGAACAGTTAATCCATTTTCAACAGAAGAGCAGGTCTCCCAGCAGAATAGAAGTGCACCAATCACTGTTGTATCATGTTACTTAGCACATTGCTTCATAAAGGACTTGCACACTTATGGTAAGATCAAGTAAAGGTCTTGGTTCGCATTGACATTAACAGCATTTTATAGAGGGTAAATAAATACACTCTACAATGAATCAGTAGACATGGCAAGAAGCATTTTGGTTTTGGTTGGTTTCTTAGCCATGTCTTTCTGCTCACCTCCTTCGGGCTTGACTGGTCCATCAGACATCACTTTTCTGAGGGCTAGTTGGCTTTGGTCTTTGTTGTCATTGGCTGGTGGAGGCAGATTGTCAGACTGAGTTCTTTGAATTGGGAGGACTCCTGCTATGCTGTGTCTGTGCTGCTTCCTGGCATGATTAGACTGACCGCTTTTATGTGCTGCTGTGGCAGTGTGGGTGAAATGGAAACCCAGAGTATGTATCCTCAGATGGAACCAGCTTAAATGTTATTCATGCAAACAGAAGTGTTTTGTTCTGCACTTAAATAAGTAGTGTTTTCAAACACCAAAGAGACACCACATGCACAGCACTAGAGGGTATTAAAACTGGCTGTTTCTTAATTAATGATGGTGGGACTAGGGAAATATTTTCCCCCTTTGTGCTTTATACTACAATGAGTTTATGGAACATCAACAAACCCTGAAGACAAACACAGCGAGTCCACGGCTGGAAGGTTTTTATTTGCAGAAACTAAATCCTCAACCAGTAATAAGATGCAGGTCTGAATTGTACTCTGTAGTGCTACAGTTTTCAATGGAGGGTTTGTCATGTGTGAATCTATTTCTAGCTGCCAGACAAATCCGTCTCTAGCCCTCAAATCAATCTGTGGCATAAAGCGGCTAATGAAATTGAATCCACTGCTACCGCAATTGACTTAGAAAAGCCCAAGGAGCATGGAGTGATAAGATTATTAATACTATTCAGTACCTAAATTTCTTGTTAAGTCTGGTGTATTTATTTTCAACCTACTGTTCACTCATGCTAATTTATCTGAAACATTGTAGGCAGTAGGCTGCCTTTAAGAAGCCTTTCAAATGAATGGAAGGTTACTTAGCAGCCACTATGCTTCACATGTAGAAAATTGAGTGATGCTAAGTAAGAACTTATTTTTCAACCTGAAATCCTGTACAACCTATATTGCATTGCCTGACGTGTAGATGCCCTGCTTCTTTTCTGAGGTTAATATCACACCATTAATGTGCTCTCTCTAAGCATGGTGGATGTGATTCTTTGAAAGCTGGCAGCCACCTATCTGAGGATTTGATTATTTCCATGGTTGAGATATTTAGCAACACTGAAACAACATCACACAATGGATAACTCCGTGAGTCATGCAAACCTCAGGAATATCATGGGCCATGAATGGAGGAAGTGATGGAGAAACAGCCAGTTTTATTGCTGTCTATATAAATGAAAAAAAAGACTTCTAAATAGAAGGAGTATATTGTATTTTTATGTGTTCACACACACACACATACACACACTCACACACACGCACACACAGAAAGACATTGAACAGAGTGAACACAGTGTGCCAAGAACAGAACCAAACAGAAAGCAGAGCGGGAAGGACAGCAGGGAAAAGGCAACAGATGAACATTAAGCTGCCATGCTGAGGAATTTATTTGCGTCTTTTACTTGGTTGGAGGCGAAGCTGTTGGACAGCTGCTTCAGCTGCAGCGATGGCTGCCCCAGCATCTTCAAGGTGGGTTTGAGTAACGCTGGTTTTGCTTTGGCTGCGCGATGGACCATGAGAGCGCAGGTGTCCTTCAGAAGAAGATTTAGAGCTCCCTGGACTGCTGTGAGATTTCTCAATGGTGGGCATCTGCATGTCTGATGGGGAAATGAATAAACATGAGTGTTATTTCTATGAAATACTATTTCTCTCTCTCTTGGGTAAATTCTGTTTGGAGGCACTGCCCTGACGTGCATCTCTCCAGCAGTAGCCTGCTGGGCACTGTGTCTGGCACAATGAGGCACAATTTCCTCCCTGCTCTTTTGTTGTGCTGTGGTCCAAGGTATAGTTTGCTAGTGATTTATACTACCAGCAATTTCTGACACTTCCCATGTCGACCCTGTTTTGCTTGCTGGTGAACCAGTGGATGGATCCAAGGCTTAGCAAATTTTCTGTTCCTCCTCACCCACTTGTGCTACAAGGAGGATGCTGAAAAGCAGCATCATTTACGCCTAAGTGTCCAGTCCAAGATGGGCCAAGCAATTTTAGGATTCCCCTGTAATGATGTGCAAGCTAAGTCACAATCTAGCCCAGTGGTGGGCAAACTGCAACCCGCAGGCTGGATATGGCCCATCAGGGTTATATGTATGGCCCATGCAACATTTTGTTTACCATGGCCCATGCACAGGGTTGCCAGATTCCACTGGTTTCAAACTGTGTAGGGTTTTTTCCTCGCAGCACTACTAAAGTGATGCACACATGAAGGAAGGACACATGAAGTAAGGTGCATGCTACTTGCACACAATGCTCTCTCTGCATTCAATCAAAGTGTTGCTATGGTTCAGTTGGCACACCCCACAAATTCTAAGTACACAAGGGCATTTAGCAAAACTACCCTGTCTCAGGAGACTATCTTCGTTACTACAATCATGAGGCCCACTGAGATGAAGGAGGCCATTTATGTGGCCCACCCACTAGCCTTGGTTGATCATAGCTCTTATACAGTTATATCCACAGAAACCTCTGATATAGACATAAGACATATTTATGCTTGCAAATATACAGTGCTTTACAGAATTGTCATCAAAGCAACATCGTATCAAGAAGAAGCAGGACAGCTTGTGTGTTATTACCAGAATGTATCCTGTTACTTCGCTGCTGTTATCTGGCCTCTATTTGTACCACTTGATGAGATGGAGTCCATTTATATCACTTTATTGCTCTGGTACGACATATGTTGCATATACACAATGTTTGCCAACTGAGATATTAGGAAATAGCTATATTTAGTCTGAAAGAAATATTCTGAAGAATGATACACACTGACTATCAGTTTTGGAGACACTGAGCCTGGTTCTTCATTTACACAGAGCCGTGTAACTCCACTGAATTCCACTATCTCCAGTGATTTCAATGGAGTTACTCCTAATTTACAACAATGTAAGCCAGATTTGAATCAGCTCCGTAATGAACGTGAAATTAACTTATACTAATTATAATTCTTCATAAAAATATCAGCTTGACAATGTCAGAAGGCAACAGCTTAACTATTAGCATAAATGCTTAAAACACAGTGCCAAAAAATAATAATTGAACATGAAAAGAGAGCACAATTCAAACTGGTGTACGTGTTGGATTTTGGCCTAGGACATTGACACAGTAGAAGTACTGTGGGATCTCTAATACCTATATATAACAAATAGGATCTCACTTTATAACATACTAGCACATTTACCCAGCATTGCTCAGGGTTTTTTTTTTAATAAAAGGGAAATGTATGTGCTTATTTAAATGACTGTATTTTTTAAAAACAGAAAGCAAGAGCAAAAGGCACAGCTCATCTGCTCGTTGCACTCCCCAGCCAGAGTGAGGAATGCAGCAAACTGTGCACTTTCTCCTCACTCACTGATGAAGGGGAACACCCAACAATGCCCCCATATAGATTTGGGAGGAGGAGGGCAGTTTCAACACTTCCCGATCCTTCCTAAAAGGCTCCTAAGGAATGGGAGACTTGGGGCAGTTCCACACAGGGTTTGAGGCACTCCTAGTCAGACCCTTTCACCTGCTTGGTGATTCTATCTCTTTTCTGTATGGTTTTATGAGAAGCAATCCCACTCCAGGCATTTTAAATTATGATAAGAGGAAGCTGTATACCAAACGCAGTGGTCCTAGCTCCTACCGTTTAGAAAGCGTTCTTGTACAAACATACAAACAAATAGACAGACAGACAGACTCTCTCAAATATATAGTAGATTGTTTGTAAACTGCAGGGAACTGGAAAGGCCAAATTCAGCTTTGGTATAAGAAGTCATAACTCCACTTAAATCACAATGAGGCTGAATATAGCTTTTAATAAAAGTATGTAGAAAACATATGCTAGCCACTGTGTTCCACAGGATATTGAAAAGCACAAAAGGTTCTCTTAGAACAGATTTTTGATGACTTGTTAGGGACATTTTCCATAGCTCTTACCCTTGGATGGGTCAGGGAAGATTCCGTGACTTCTGCTCTTGATGACAGATGTCTTTGGTGATTGCTGGTTGCTCTGCCCAGAATGAGATTTCCCATGGTCAATACTTTCAGTCTGCTCCTTCAGAGGATACCACCGTGGGGTGTTGTCAAACTGAGAGGTGCCGGATAGCTCAATCAATACCTACACAATGACATACCGTGTGACTGATTAAGATACAATGGGAGACACAAAGAGGACTGAATCTGATCTCATTGATGTGGTGTAAGTCAAAAGTATTTCATAATAAAATTAACAGTCATGTAATGTAAAACCTATCAGGGGAAGATGAGGGGCTACTAGCATTCCTGGTAGGAATCTTGGAAGTCTTCAAAAAGATTTGTCCAGAAAGAGAGGATTCTCTGTAAGCCTCAGCCAGTGCAAAGGAGGTAGAATAAGCAGTTGATTACAAACATCTTCTGCCCCTAGGAATCTGAGATCCTTGTGAAGAGGTTTAGTGCATGGAGGAAAGCATAAAATAAGTTGGAGACAACATCCACCGACCTATGAGATGCAAAGAAAGAGTTGCCAGTGAAATTAATAATCCTCTAGGCCCTCTCTTAAAGACCTAGTAGAACTGCTTATGTGCTACAGCAGGAAAAAAAACTTTTAATATTTGGGAACAAAAAAGAGGCCGTGGGTGTAAAAGTTTTAGACATACTGTAATAGCAGGAGTGACAGTCATCTTAAAGGAGCCATTTTAAGTATTCAGAGATTCCAAGGCTAGAAGGGGCCATTGGATCATACAGTCTGAGCATTTGTATAATAGGCCACAGAACTTCCCCAGAATAATTCCTAGAGCATTGCATTTGAAAAAAATAATAATTCTCACTTCATTTTAAAATGATCAGTGATGGAGAATATTTGTTCCCCGTGTAGGTACTTTTAAATTGAAATTAGAAGACACCTTAATGTGTTTAACTTTGTTAATCTAAAGAGACTGACTTCCAACCGTCTATCCCACAAGGCACCCTTTCCAATTTATCAACATCCTTCTTGAATTGTGCACACCAGAACTAGAAACAATATTCCTCCCTCCCCACTTACCCTGCCAGCCCTCCGTGCTACCTGGAGCATCCCATGCCATGCTCCAGTGGCAATTTAAAGGGTCCACTGCTCTGGCCACTTCCACAGTAGCATTGGCTTAGAGCTCTTTTGAATCATCAGGCCCTAGAGTAGTTATTCCCTTTGCCCTCCCTCCCTCATCAGTGGGCCTGGTAAGGACTGGAGTAACTCTAACCAAGAGACACTGAAGATGGTGCATGCAGAATAAAATTTGGGGAATTTGTCATTGATTGCTGCCCTGTTAGCAGGACACTACTAGCTTACCAAAGAGGCTAGTCAGTGTGAGATAACTCCAAAGAGCCCACACAGAAAAAAACAGTAAGTAGAGATGAATAGCTTAGGATAGTTAAAAAGGAATTTAGCAGAAAGTAGCATCCTGGAAATTAGGGTGAATAATGAGTTTGTTCTCCCTTGGAAGTGGTGGGAACACCAAAGAACAAGAATGTAAGAATGAGACTGATCTATGTGCAGACCAATATTCTATGTGGAACAGGTCTTGGTACCTGCTGTCAGGATGAAGTCACTGTGACTGTCCCATAGACCAAACACTTGGATACTTATCAGCAAGCCAGCTGGACAAGAAGCAAAAGGTGTAGGTAATTAAAACAGATGCCCCAAGAGGTTGTAATCCTCAAAGGCTACCAATAAACTCATACAAGTAATAATAAGGGAATCTTCTTTAATGCTGGCAGAAGGGTGCAAATTAGACCTAAGATGTTGTCATCTGATTAGGGAAAAAAATATAGACTGATTCAGCAGTCCAATGAATTGGAGAAATACCTGTCAATCTAGTGCCTGTGGAAGTCTCCTCAAGTCAGCCTTTTTCTCAGAGGAAAGGAAAGCTTTCATCAATGGTGTCTTCAGTGACATCAGTCACTGACAAATTGTATTTTTGGATGCAACACATCTATTGTCACTGGTTAGGAGTCCTTCTGAGTTAACCCTTGATAGCCCGTAACCAATGGGCTGGAAATAATACTTGTTTGCACTCACTTACGCTAGTTTGCCTTCCCCACTAGGAAATGCACTCAAGTTTAAATAAAAATGAAGCTGCAACTTAAATTTAACTTTCAGATGGTGCTCATATTTCAAGTCAAATTCTTTAATTATGCCCGAGAAGCAATCATTAGAACACCAATTTATCTAAAGGTCATAAATAATAATGATGTAAATGCTCTCTCAAGTCATACATTTTGGGGGGAGGGTCTAATAAATATGCTGAACAATATGCTGAACAATGTGATGTGGTAGGTAGGATGTAAGTAATCATGTAATTGCTTTTTAAACTCATCCATATATTTGTTCTAGAGATTACTTAAGGGGTGACATGGCTTGTCTGATACAATGGTAATATTAAAGCATATCTGGTGCTAAACTGAATAATACGTCATTGGATATGTTGTAGTCTGTAACTTAAATGCAGGGTAAGGTATTTTTTTCATATCAGTATCACTTGATACAAATGGTAATGTTAGTAATTGATTTTTTCTGGGTAATTGTTTCTAATTGTAATCCTCTATGGCAATAAGTTTTAATTACTGATTTAACATCATGTTTATTGCTGGTCACTCCATATATTACATATGCTTTTCATCATTGCTGACCTGGTTCAGCATTAGTTACCATGTCATGATGAATGAACTAGACAAGATTGTGCTTTTAGTTATACCTGTGAAATGCTATCGACTTCATTGCAGTTGCAATAGAGGCCCTGATTGAGGAAGTTACTTCAGTGGGACAGCTCCTGTGCTTACAGTTAAGCATGGACTTATTGGTCTTGCCAAATCGTGGCCCAGAGGCAGAATTTGGTCCTTTATTCATATGCACTTCCACTCTTCTCACTACATGGTAGAAAACTCCTCAGTCCATACCTAGTATGCTGAGGTGAAGACAGTCTCTATTAGCCAGAGCTGGATTCCTCATCAAGTTACTTCTGAAGCTATAACCACCCCTTTCCTCAGAAGCATTGATCTAAATCACTGCAACTATTCACAATGATGATTTAAACAAGCCTAAGTGCACAACTTTAGCCCCACTGTGCTATACAAAGAGAAGGAAAAATTTGGTGCCCTATGTGGGTGAATGAAGGAAATCTCACACATTTATTATGAATTTCTGCAATAGTATAGTTATGGCCAAGAAGCTAAGCCTAAAGAAAAGAATCTTTCTATTGCTCCCACACCCACCAAACAAAATAGGCTGTGATTATCAACATACATTTACTTGAGTGTCTCCCAAGACGGGGAGGCAGGTTTAGGGAAGAGAGGAAATTAGATACTCACTTCACCCAGAAAGTCATTGGAGGAGAATCGATCATAATCCCAGACAGTCACTTCTAGTGTTTTCTTCTTCAGCTGTAGTTTAGATCAAAAGATGATTAATCCCAATTGCCATCATAAACCTCCTGTTGCATTCATTGAATAGCTTCTATTTGTTATTATGTGCCTGCACTCTTTTTCAATATGACAGCCAGGTCATTTTTTATTCCCACATCAGCCTTGATTTCAGAAAATTAATTCTCGGCAAAGCTGGCATTTGCTGTCACGATGGATGTGCATGTACAAGGTGCTGCTGGGACTCTCAGAAGTTCCTTTGAAAACCTGACAGAGTGGGCAACACAAGGCCCATACTATGACTTTAAAAAAGCTGAGAGTGACTACCGAGAGGTGAACTTCTGTTCTCAAGCAAGGTGATTTGTATGTGGCTGTGGTGAGTTGGAGTGCAGAATTTAAATATTACTTTACAGTACTCCTACAATCTGCAGGACCTTTAGCCCCTATGTTGTCTCAGGGCTAGTCTTCTCTAGAAGTGTTATATCAGTGAAGCACTATGTCTGGAGAAGATGCTCTAAGCTGATGTTCTTCCATCACCATAATAAATTCATGTTTGTGAAAAAGGGTAGCTGTGATGGCAGGAGAAGCACTCTGGGGGGATCGGGAGATACAGCGCTGTTCACATCAGTGTTTAGGAGAGTGTAACTTATGTTGCTCAGGGGAGGGGGCTTATTCAGACCCCTGAATTACAAAAGTTATAACAAAGTAAGTGGTAATGCAGTTGTGGTATCGGTGTGGTTTGAGAAGTTTCCCTGGGCTGGTGAGAAACACAAAGGTGAGGGGATTGATTGATTGACTGACTGCAGCTGTGTGCTTTAGAGGGACAAAGCTTATAACTTGTGAGCCTCCTGTTTGTTTCTGCTATGTTCAAGTAAATGGGCCGTTGTGAACATACTTTGTCAACAAACACAATTACAACAGAGAAACATGTGTAGAATATTATCAATTTCTTCTCTGAACAGAAGCAACTCATCCAGGCCTCAAATACTGGATGACCAGTTGGGCCAAAGGGCATGTAACAGAATATTCTCTCAAATCAGACAGAATTCATCTCTTCAAAATTCTCCAGTGCTGCTCGGCTTGACTCAGATATTCTTAGTCATGTAGAAGAGCTTCACGTTAAACAGTGGATTTATTATTGTTGTAGTGACCTTATATTTTCTGGTCTCATTCAATCTCAGTAAAATGAACAATTATGCCGGGCCTGTTTCTTTGAAAATTATGTTAAACTCATCTTATCCTAAAACCCAACAAGGAGATTTTTATATATTTGCTGGGGGGATCGGGAGATACATAATATACTTACTAAACAGGACGAAAATAAAAGGATTTTAAAGCAAAGATTTTAAAAAAATTCCATAACTAAGTGAAATTATGTTCTCTCTTTTTTATATCCTACCCACTCAGGCAATATAGAACACACCTTTTGTTAAAAATCCTGTGAAAATTTAAACAGAAAGTTGAAGAAAAGACTGTATAAAGAGGCAAGATGGCTTGGAAAGCTTAGCACAGGGCTATTCAGTACGTGGCCCGTGGGGTGCATGCGGCTCACAGCCCGTTTGTTTGCAGCCCAAGGTACGGTTTGGGTTACATGGGGCTCAACACATGGCCTGTGGGTGGGATCCTTTGAACATGGCCTCCACTGGGAACACACGCCACAATGGCGAGGCATCTCCCAGGTGGGGTGAGCACTGAAAGATGCAAGCAGACTGGCTGGCTGGAACAGGTGGGTAGAAGGTGTTGGCATTTTTAGCCCCCAGGGAAAAGGTGCCAGGAACACTGGGGCATTGTGGGAAGTGCTGGCTATTTAGCCTTGTAGGCAGAGCCTGAGAGGTGCTGAGTGGCTTACACTGGCCATGATTGGATCTGGTGCTGCGGCTTAAGGCTTAATCTTTGTATTCAAGCCTGTCAGTGTGAAAGAAGCTATTTGTATATATTTGCATATATATTTGCATGTACATGCAACCATACTTAAGTTGTGCTGAATATCATTGTGGCCCCCAGGGCTTCAAAAGTTGAGTAGCTCTGGCTTAGCATATCATTTGTGAATGCCCTTTAGAGGCAAAGTATAAGCAAAGATATTCTGAACATATGCAGAGAGGTGCTCTAGAGTACCTCTTCATTACAAATTATGAATGTGCTGGGAGATAAGGAAGGATAGATGGATCTAGGAGGGGAGAAAGTATGGATATGATTGAATTTTTTGTGGGAACAGACAGATATTTTATGGTGTGAGAAATAGTTTTGCAGAACCATAGAAACTAGCAAAAATTTAGATGGTATCATGAGCTTTCATGGGCACAACCCACTTCAGAAGATAAGAAGTGGATTATGCCCATGGAAGCTCATGATACCATCTACATTTTTGTTAGCCTCTAACGTGCTGGAAGACTATTCATTATTTTTTAAGTTTTTTCAAACTTTAGACCGTTATTTTGCTAGTTGGGGATGTGGTGAGAGTGGCTGAGATAATATCTAGCAGACGCTGGCTGAGATCATCCACTCATTTAAAATCTGATGTTCAGTCCCTGATAACTAAACCTTGTGTGATATGTTCACAGCAGAACTCAACACCAAATCATTTTAAACATGAAAATCAGCCAAGGTGGTTTGGAAAGTTTGCTAATATTGACAATCTCCTTAGTGAGAGATCTGAGAGGTTTAGGGGCTATGTTGTAGCCATAGCATACTTACCCTTTCATCTCCCTTCCCTTCCCTCTGAAAACAGATAGTGGGTTTGGCTGAATTTCACTTTGAACTTTTGGATTAGCTTGGATTGCCATGTGTACAAACCCCTAAGATGTGACACCATAACACAGGGTTTATACAAACCCTCGAAGCCATATCTGAACTAGATTTGAGTCCATGATCTTAGCAGTAAAACATCAATTTACTCCCAGGTATTTACAGTAAAAGTCATGAACTGGTCATAGGCAATGAACAAAAACTTATGGTCTTGACCTGTCTGTGCTAAAAATACCTGTGACTAAATCTTAATGAAAGCATGAAAAGCGGTGTTGCTAGGGAGGTGCTTGGGGTTGGAGATGCCCTGAGCCAGCAACACCGGCTGTTGGAGGCTGTGGCCTGGGGGGCTGCTAAGGCAGAGGGTGTCATGTTATTGAATTGTAATATGAGCAGGTAGGTCACTGTTGAACCCACTAGTGTGTGTTTACTCCGGATTCTGTACAAAGTGGGCCATGTGAGGTGTCGAATGAAAGCACATGCTATGCTGATTCTAGGTATACTACTCGGCTACGTCTACACTGGCCCCTTTTCCGGAAGGGACATGTTAATTTCAGCTATCGTAGTAGGGAAATGCGCGGGGGATTTAAATATCCCCCGCGGCATTTAAATAAAAATGTCCGCCGCTTTTTTCCGGCTTTTAAAAAAGCCGGAAAAGAGCGTCTACACTGGCCCCGATCCTCCGGAAAAAGTGCCCTTTTCCGGAGGATCTTATTCCTACTTCAAAGAAGTACTTTTTCCGGAGGATCGGGGCCAGTGTAGACGCTCTTTTCCGGCTTTTTTAAAAGCCGGAAAAAAGCGGCGGACATTTTTATTTAAATGCCGCGGTGGATATTTAAATCCCCCGCGCATTTCCCTACTACGACTCATGAAATTTACATGCCCCTTCCGGAAAAGGGGCCAGTGTAGACGTAGCCCTCATGTACATGTATAATTTTGTATCTAAAGTTATGAATATGGGCTCTATACTTGTGTTTAATTGTCTCTGTCTGGGAGGGAGCAATGGCTCTCGGCCACCTATTGTGAGGGATCGTTATCCAGTGAATAGCTATGCTAATGAGCAAGATGCATGAACAATGGCTCTCAGGGTTGCCAATATACACCTGAGGACAGTGTCTGGAAACCTGCAAACCAGCAGGTCTATCATGGCTACTTGCATGAAAGACAGAGACAGGCCACTTGATCAGGTGAACAGCTCCAGTTTGGGAGGCACCAGGAATATAAAAGTGACATCAGGGTGACTCCATCTTGTCTTCAATCCTGCTCCTGATTCCAGAAGCACCTTTTCTAGAAATAGAGGGCCAGGAAGGATTTGCTGACCCATCCTGACATTGGATGTACACCAGAGACTGGTTAAATAGAGGGCCAGGAAGGATTTGCTGACCCATCCTTACATTGGATGTACACCAGAGACTGGTAAGCTAGTACGATGTAACATCTTTGCTAAGAACCTGCATCAAGAACTTGGTAATTGATGTATGTAATGTATTTTCCTTAATCTCAGTGTCAAACTTTTCTTTTATTAATAAGCTTTTAGATTTTAGATTCTAAAGGAATGGCACAGAATGCTCTTGTGGGTAAGATCTGAGGTAGAAATTGACTTAGAACTGTGGCTGATCCTTTGGGACTGGAAGAACCTGTCTGGAGTTGGTGAGATTAGGTTTATAACTTCTCACCTGTACAAGGTTTGGGTATGATTCTGGCAAAGGCAAAGTCTGAGGCTTCCTGCTGGCCAGACTGGTAGCTGAAGTGCTCTGTTTGACTGGTTTGGTAACTAAAGGAGAACCGCAACCTTGGGATGTAAGTAGCTGTAGTTTTGAGCAATTCACCCTGAAAAGATCCTCTCTGCGGTGCCCAGACTGACCTGATACATTACATAGGGGTTGTTCTCCTTGTTCTCCCCTGGGCTAAGGATAGCATGGGGAAGAGTCACATGGGAGAGGGCAGTCACATGCTCTATGCCCACCTTATCTCTCTTCAGCAATCGCCCCCGACTGACCCTTTGAGACTGAGACTAACCTGAACGTTGCTGTGCTTTTTGGAGTAGAGCATTGATCTATCCTAAAGTCCAGCTTGCCTGGGTGCACTTTCTATGACTCCATGGTAAGACTGGTATAGAACTTAAAGAGATCAACTAGTCACTGGACAGGTGAAATCTCATTATAGAATGTACAAACAGGTTGCTGCTTGTTCACAGTCTGCCCTTAGGCTGGCACTCAGTCATGAGCCACTCCTGACAGTGAGACAAAGACAACACCATGCAGTATGCAAACACATGGGTGATAAATGTGCTTGCTTAGCTTACATAAACTGTATCCCTGAAAAATATGCTAAGTATATTGATATTGATATTGAGCATAGTAGTGCTCACCTTGTATGATATTAAATGATGTATGTGTGCATTTAGAAGTCATAGAGGGATCAAAGGTATTTACCTCCAAATCCTTTTTTAAACAACATATAGTAGATGGAATATGGTGCATTCCAAAGTAAAAAAAAACAAACAAAAACCTACAGGGAACTATTTATATGAGTTAAATGGAGAAGTAAATCTCTGTCAGGGAGGCTCAACTGTATCTGTAGGAGGAGTGAACTCCATCAGAGGCAAGGAAATTATTCAAGCTTCCCTTCAATTTGATGACAGTCACTGGCCATACAAATAATAGAAAAGAAAATCACAGTGGACAGTGCTAATAGTCACGCACCTGCTCCATGGAGATATTTTTATAAATGACCGTCTGATTCCACTCGGGATTCAAACTTTTCTGCACATATTTCGTCCTCCGCTTGTACTCAGCACTGAATTCGAACAAAGGAAGGGAACATTACATTAGTCTTCTTTTGTTTCCTTCCATCTTTGTGCAGAAAACATTTCACGGAAATAGAAAGAAAAAAAACTCAACAACTCAGGGCTATAAAAGCACAATGAGAACTACTTTTTCTAACTGCATTGCCCAACTTGCTGTACTGTGCTTTCATGTTGCTGTCTTCACAAACCTCATCTAATGAGCCTTCTAAAAGCTCAGCCTGACTATAAGCAAAGTGTTCAACCTCCAGCATCAGGAAACACCAGCTTGTTTTTATTGTAGTTATAAATACCTCCTGCCTCTTTAGAGCAGGGCTCTAATTACAACTGTTAGTGATAATGCATTTCTTTCCCAAGGAACATCTTTCTGCTTGCACATTTAGGTAGGCTTAATCCATTTTATTTTTATTTTGTGTTCTTTAATAACAGGAGTCTCATCTCATAAGACCATTAAATGAAAGCCATGGTATGCTGAAATACTGTTAATGATAGAAACACTAATTTCATATTGATCCTATTCTCTAGCTTTGCCTCTAACTGTAGGAAGACCAAGCATAAAAGTACATCAAGCTTGCTTTTATCAATAGGCAAGTATAAGAAGTTTGGCTGAATTAGCTACATTAAAAAGAAAAGAAGCAGAAATATACTCAATTATACTCCGCATTTCCTGGATGTGGAGAAAGTGGGAGCACTCTCCTTTCAGACATTATAGATTTCCTGGTCATTGCAAACCCTGATGCTATATGCACTCACATACCAATTTTTATTTAATATACAATTTAATGGAAAAGATGTCACAGTTTTACATAAGAAAATGCTTACAGAATTCAAGAACCCAAATAGATTTGAAGTGCAGAACTTTTCTGATAAAATGCAAGTTACCTACATTTAAACATGGAACAATCAAAGACTTGAAGACTAGCTTATGTTTGATTGCTCTTCCCTGTTTGTAAGACCATTTTGAATATGTAAAAGTTATACTTCTCAGCTGTTTTTTTGGTAAATACCATTCCCCTCTCCTTATGGTTCTAATGAAGTAAAAACCAATGCAGATTGCCTCATTTTGAGTACTTGCATAATTGCAGCTTTGGACACAGTGGTATAGTCTGATACTCTTACTCATGTCAAATAGTACTTTGTACTATTCAAGTAATCCCCCTGAAATCAATTCTACAAAATGTGTTGGAAATGTTCTTTCTAATTTTTTTCCACAGAAAATACTTACCATTTTCTGACAAAAAAGCTTTAGTCTATATTTACATATGTTTTACTCTATAAATATTTTTCAGAGAAGCTCAAAGGCCCACATTCCCCTCTCTCTCACGCTACATTATATCGCAGTCATTGAGAAATATACAGCACATCTAACATCTGCTTAGTAATAAAGGCTATGTCTAGACTGCAAGCCTCTTTCGAAAGAGGCTTTTTCAAAAGATACTTTCGAAAAAGCCTCTTTCGAAAAAGAGCATCTAGACTGCAAGCGGAACATTCGAAAAAGCAAGCTGCTTTTTCAAAAGAAAGCAGCGAGTGAGTCTGGATGCTCTCTTTCTAAAAAGCCCTGTTGGCATTCAAGAACGCCTTTTTTCAAAATAGCACTTTCGAAAAAAGGCGTTCTTCCTCGTGAAATGAGGTTTACCGCCATCGAAAGAAAAGCCGTGTTCTTTCGATTTAATTTCGAAAGAACACGGCTGTAGTCTAGAAGCAGGTGAAGTTTTTTCGAAAAAAAGGCTACTTTTTTCGAAAAAAACCCTGAGTCTGGACACAGCCAAAGAGGAATCTGTGATCATGGTGACAGGGACATGAAATCTCTCTTCGGTCTCTTTTTGCTTATACCCTCAATTCTGAGTGATACTGTACAAAGACAGTGACTTGCAATTCTTCTGCATCCTACACTGAGGGTACGTCTAGACTACATGCCTCTGTCATCAGAGGCATGTAGATTAGGCTACCAGACATAGGAAAATGAAGCGGCGATTTAAATAATCTCTGCTTCATTTAAATTTACATGGCTGCCGCGCTGAGCTGACAGCTGATCAGCGATTATTTAAATCGCCGCTTCATTTTCCTATGTCTGGTAGCCTAATCTACATGTCTCTGGCGACAGAGGCATGTAGTCTAGACGTAGGTCACTCCACACAATTCCATTCATTTACTTTCGAAACATGAGATACTGCTATCCTCCAGTTTACTCAGAAATGTGCAGGGCACTGTGGTTTGTAAAGCAGAATATCTTCCTTCTTCCTCTTAAGAGAGGAAAGCTGAAGCTATCTATAATGTGATTGGATCTGACAACCTCAGAGGATAATGATATCTTTTGAAAAATGATATCATTTTCTCTTTCTCTTTTTATTTTTTTTATGCATCAATTGCAGAGATATGGATGGGATTCTGGGGGAATGAGTGCATGTTAAAAAGAAAATCACTCTAAAGTCTTATTACTCTGCATTCTTAGCAAAGACGGTAAAAACATCCACCACATGTTAAACCTCTCTCAGAAACAGAAAGGTCCTGATGACAAATCCTATTCCTTGGCACACTTAAAACCAGACAAACTGAGTGGCATCATGTCCCCTCCCCCTCCCCCCACACACATATCCCCCTGACCCTAAGCCCTTCCCAATGCCTTTCTCAAGCTGTCTCCAGACATCTGGAGATAGGGTATGCTGAGAAGGGGCAGGACTGGGGTGAGCATCTCTCTGTCCTCACACACTTCAGCTGTGAATCTCTTTTTCTGATCAGCTTAGTGCTGACTTGTAAAAATTAAGTCACTCACGCCCTACTTGCACAAGTTGGAAGCCATTTCCCTCCGACCTGAAGGTGAGAGGGAGTGTGGTGGGGGCAGGGACAGTGTGGAACACAGGAGCTGGAAGACAGTGCAGAGGCACTGGGACTTGGTCTCTGGCACTCAGGGGATTTACTGGTGTCAGGGGAGGGATTTTTGTTGTTTGAAAGTGGGCGGGCAATTGGATATCGTCCCCTCCAATATGCCCATCCATGGACATGAGATGATCATCACACATGGGAACATCATGGAATTTCCAGTCCCCTACTCAGGGAATTCCCATTTGGAGACAATCTGGCATGTGCCAAAGAAAACCCTCCTAGTCCTAGATCAGTTCTCCTACCGCAGGGTTGATATGGTGCTTCATGGACTGCCAGCATTATTGGAGCTGGCAGAGGCCAGAAACCAGAGGCTGGGCTCCTCAAAACCAATGTAAATCTACAGTAATTCCCAAGAAGTCCTTGTGATGCCTCCAATGTCAGCGTTTAGGGGGTGGTCACCATCTGAGTGCAGCAAGCTGGTGGGCTTGAGCTGCCAGAGCAGGGGTATGCATGGGCAAGTCTGGGGATGGAACCACAGGACAGCCAGGCTAGGGAAGGGGGAGGTGGCACTGCCTGCAGTATTTTGATTTTTAATTTAAAAATGACTTTTCAAAACAAAATTAATTATTTTTCCACGATTTAAAAAAAAAGTCGATAAAGTCAAAATGTCAATTAAATGTTTATATTTTATTCACATGAAATTCTTAATTGACCTGAAATGAATTCTATTTTGTTATTTGGTTTCATAGGAAAATTTCATGTTTATTTTGTGTTCATTCCATTTTGAAATAGAAAAAAATTCAAAATCATGGAATTTCCAACAAAACAGAAAATCTGGTTCTTCGGCAACTCTGCTTTGGGTTGACACTGGTGTATTTGACATAAGAATTTTGGCATTTAATCTGTTTTATACTGGTAGTCCAAAACCCAGCACTGGTAACTCTAACAACTATCTTTTTAATTCTGCAAATTTCAGACTGCTATTTAAATATGGACTTTTGCCAGAAAACTAAAAATCCACCTAGTATAATAATCTACAATGCAATGTGTTTCAATGCAAAGTTTTGTATAAGGTGTACAATAGTTCTAAAGACATTTAGGATTGGGTCATTTCCAAATAATATCAGGCTCTCTGTCTCAGAGCAGTAAATTCTGCTGAAAATTATGAGACAAGTTCACAGTTAATGACAAACATCAAAGAGTAAGGGCCAATTTACACAGTACTTGATTGAACAAAATTTCCATTGACTTCAGTGTAAGTTTTAATTAAGGATGTCAGAGTTTGATCCTAAAATGTTACTGCATCAAGAAACCCCACCAATTTTTCCCCCAAAATGTCTTTCTCTCCTTGAAATCAGAGTTATTAGATAGTGAACAACAAAGTCAATTTTGTTTACTGGATTTATAGGTCATCAGTACTCAAGGAAAATCTACTGGTACATGCATAAGATAATCACAGCTTGATGCATGCATGCTTTAAAGAATAACTTTGAAAGATAAGTCACTGTACCTTGCATTCTGGACAACCATGACTTGTCTGCATGGACCCAGTGAGGAGACAGTGTAATAAATACAGATAGGAAAATAGAAGAAGCAGCATGAGAGAAAATGGGAATAGACAGAAACGAAAGAGAACATGTGAATAATACATGAGCAGTTTCTAGTTTCAGAATCACAGGAAATAGACATTAACAAGAATACATATTTTGATGTGTATTGAACTACATCAAAAGGAAAGAGACTTATTAGCAATCAGTGAATGCATTGGTATTCAGATAAAAGTAATGTACTCTCTCAGCATCTTTCCACTTTAATTGTCAGTAGTATGTACAAAGAATCCCCAAAGCAATATGCCCCATTGTGAATGATAACATTAATCATAGTCTGAAGTAGAAGAGGTTCTGAACCACAATGAAAATATATCAGAGGGGTAGCTGTGTTAGTCTGAATCTGCATAAGTGACGAAAAAAATCCTGCATCTGACGAAGTGGGTCTTTGCCCACGAAAGCTTATGCTCCTACACTTCAGTTAGTCTATAAGGTGCCACAGGACTCCTCGTTGCTTAATGAAAATATAAACATGCTCCTACACTTCAGTTAGTCTATAAGGTGCCACAGGACTCGTCGCTTAATGAAAATATAAATGCCCCAGAACTAGGTTACTGTTTGGAACTCGTTTTGAATTCAGGTTAGAACTTTGAAGGTTGGACCCGTATCTAACAAAAAGTCTTATTTCTACAAAATCATATCCATAATACTCCCTTTCCCTAACAACTTCTCATGTGACAATAGGCACAAGAAGGGATATAAGCGACTACTCGAGTAGTCAACTACCAGGTAAGCTCAGGCTCATTGGGTAGTCAAGTCACTGTTCAACTATTCTCTTCCCCCCCCACCTGTGTCAGAGGCAGAAAAGAGGGGGAAGCAGGAGCTGGTGCTGGAGGGGAGCCGACTTAAAAGCTGGTGTCCCCCCAGCACCGTCTCTATGGTGCAGGGTGAGGAGGGGCAGGGGAGACAGACCTGCTGAGGTCCTGGGGCAGGTGTAAGCTAGGCTTGGGAGCTACCCCCGCTGAAGCTCTGCATTTTAAATGTACAGGCAGTCCCCGAGTTATGTGGATCCGACTTATGTCGGATCCGCACTTACGAACGGGGCTTTCTCGCCCCGGAGCTCGAAGGCAGCGGGACCGCCCAGAGCGCAGTGGTCCCACCACCTCGACCTCCGGGGCGAGAAAAGCTGCTCCTGGTGCCTC